TCTAGCTCCATAGGAAGACTCCCATTCATTGATGAAAGGTTAGGCTTTTAAACATAGGGAAGATTGTCAACTGACGTCAGTGTCAGAAGTGTTCATGTGATACACATAAGTATTTTTGAGATTTAGGAGGCAAGGCTCTTCATAGATTGCTCTGTATTTCAAAGTACAACTGGAAACAAAGTCAGTTCAGTAATTGAATAAATCTGTTATGTTCTGTGAACCTAACAGCATTAAGTAGACTGCGCGTTTTATATGTCTTCTATACATCTAGTCATGTAATCACAGTCAGTCCAGTAGTCCATTTGTCCAGTCATGTAGTCAAATTTATTTCACATTCTAGTTGGTAAGCCTCATGCATTCCTACTAAACTTATAATTTAGAGATTGGAAGAAAACAATTTTTTTTTCTTTAGCTCTGAAGAGTTGATTTCTCAGCTCTGAACAAAACAGTCTAAATAAAGAGTGTAGTGTCTGTTCTATGTATCTGAAAGCAAAAGTAAATAAAATCCTTTTTATACAATAGAAATGGAAAATTGCTTACATCCTGGAGACTGTAAAAACTAGTACTCAGGTACTGTAAAAACTAAAAATCATGTATATACTTGACCAAAGCGCCTGGTATTTTGACATGTTTATAGAAGTTATAATCTCAAGTGATAAATATCATTTAAAGATAAATAAAATAAATGTATTTTAAATAGCCACTTTTAATTAATAAAAATCTGCTGAATTGTGTGGTATTTACTTGATCTATTACAATAATTAAAAAAACATTGTAGTAAACAGTTCTGAAATTTAGGAAATATTTATTCATAAAAAGGAGAGTGCATTTAAACAAATAAAGTCTAAGTTAGCTTTAAAATTATTATTTCTCAACCTGTTATTGCTAAAGATGACAACAGATCTCTCTTTAAATTGTGCACATACAAGAAACCTCTTAACAGACAAAGCTATGTTTTGTGAGTTGACCATGGGAAAAGATATTGCCTAGAGAGTGTTTTCTTTGTGCATGGTTTATTTATTATACTTTAGAGGTGGAGAAAATATTATTCTTCTGGATGAGACCTTTATCCCAATTCAGGATATGTATTTTTAAAATTTTTGTATGTGTCCTCCTGTTTTGTGCACCTTGAGATAGCTGGTTTGGTACACTGAATCAGCACACGTCTTTTTCTTTTGTGTTAAATCTTTCATCTGACTTCTAGTTTCACTGCCTATGTTGTATTAAATTTACTTGATGCCACAGCAGTTGGCCACAGAGAATTACTCTGTGGGGTTTTTTTTCAGTCTATTTTCTACTTGATAGCACCAAATAAAAGTCTTTGTCATTGAACATGACAGTACTGTGATTTGGAACCATTCTTAGATTAAAGAGCTTCTCCTTATATCAGTCCATTACCTTGTGACTGTTTTCTTTCACTAGATCGTCCTTTTTTGGGAATATTGTGAGGAGCTGAACAGGTACGAAAACTCTCTGCATCCTTGATGAATTCTGTTCTGTGTTCTCGGCTGGTCTTGACCATGTATCATGGTTTCTCTGAAGTAATGGGCTTTCTGCCCTTAAGTAAATGGAACTGTCATCATAATGATTTACAGCTTTCCAAAACAAATAGGCATTGATAACAGTCTTTGAATTTATCTTCTTGATTTTCTAAACATGTTTTATGAAATGGACATCTTCGAATAAAACTGGATTCTTTGTCTTTACATTTTTACTTTCCCTTGAATTATTCCATGCGGAATAATGAAACATTTATTTGATGTTACAGATAATTCATCAACGTATGTATTAATGTTTCATGACTTTTCACAGAGAACAGTGAGTAAAGTCTTAGATTTGTATGTCGAAGTTTCTGATTTGTTGAGAAGCAAAGGTTATTGGTTAGGAGACAATTAGAGCTCTTTCCTACTCAAGTGATCAGTTGTGCTTGATCTTGTTTTTTTGGCATTCCTAGTATTGTTTTCTGCTCTCCTCTACCACTGAGGCTCTGAGATAATTGAGATGTTATCTGCTGGTTAATGCTTACTGGCTGCTCTGTATCCTCTCTTGCTTGGCCTTTATGCCATGTATGAATTTGCACCTGTCCAAATCTTAAATTGTAGTAATCTCTGGGACTAGAATTTTACTGTAATAGGAAGTTTCTTTGCCTTGAATAATTGACTGTGTCTGTTCTTCTTATGGTTAGAAGCCTTATTGATGAGGATGACATTTGGCCACTTTGTTATCCAATATAATAGTTATTCTGTATTCCTTGATCCTCTTTTCATTGTGCTTGGTCATTTGCTGTTTTTGATTTTTGGAATTGTAAACTCTCTGAAGAAGGGGCTTTCATTTATAGTTAATTAGTCTAGTGTCTAGCACAATGGGGCCCAACCTACTGTGGCTTTTCAGCTCTATTGCAAGCTAGCAGTACGAGACTTTAGATCACGTTAAAAGAAACAGCATTGAAAATTAACTCTAGAATTGTATTTGTAGTGTATATCCTGAAGTTAAGAAAAACCCTCAATGACAGTGTCAGTATAAATGTTGACCAGTAAATCTTTTCATGTTCTTTATGAACAAAGACTGCTCCTAAGCAGTCAGAGATCAGAGTTATTCAAGAAGTCTGTTCGCTATATGTTCTGGCTCAGAACAATCCAGGTACAATCTCAATCAGCTAAACCAAGAACACGTAATACAAAACACATATTTGCTGACCATGTGTGGCACAAAAGCAAAAATTATTTTAAATTATTAAAAATTAATCCATGGAGATTTGGACCATTACAGTTGCCTTCATATGTAGCTAGTCCAGAGCAGATGAAAGAGTTGAAAATGTTTCCTGGCTTCATAATAGGCGAATTCATTGTGAACTGAAGTTACATATGTTGCTTTTCATTCTGCTACCACTATTCTTGTGCTATGCTTCTGGAGGATAAGTACTTTGTGTAGCTGGAAATTAATTTTAAATAAAAGATGATGTCATCCATTACAAAAAAGTACTTCAAATATTCCTTTTGGAGTATTCAGTGGCTTTTGTTTGATGACAGTCCATCCATTTTAAGTTCCTTAGTTTAGTACTAACATGAACTAAAATTCTTTCTAGTTTGTATTTGTTGTCATTCCAATTAAAATCCTATCCATACTTTTCAGTACCTTTCTTTAACTTTTCTTGGCATTTATAATGTATCTAGAATTTCTTTTTTTTTTAAAAAAAAAAGTTCATAATTGCTGATTTTTTTTTTTTAAGGCAAAGCCCAGAATACTGCTTTCATGAATACATTTCTCTGTAGAGATCAATACAGGAATATTGTTTATGTTATAAACACTGAAACTGAAAGACAGTGAGAATTAGATTTGAGAAACATATCTGTACAATTTTGTGCGTGGTGTTTACTCAGTCCAGAAATATTTAGACAATTACATGACCTGACAGCTAAACAAGTTAATTATGAGTATTCTTATTTTCAGGGGGACTCTGAATGCTATAAATGTTTCCTGTTTAATCCAGGATTGGTTCTGTGCACTTCATCTTCAGGAAATTTTCTCCTGTATTCAGGAAATGATGTTTGCATTAATGACATTCACATTCGCATCACACATTATCTGTCTTTCTTGTTTTTTCATTGTCTCTAGCAGTTGGGATCCTTTTCAAGAGTGTTTTGATGTAGAATGTTTTCTAAAAAACTTGTCCTATCACCTGTTTGTGACATTTAAAACTGTTTTTTTCCTTTTCTTTAGTAGAAGATATACGGACTATTGCCTGTTTTGGTGGATGTAAAATAAAAGTATTTTAGCATGTATCCTAACGAAATTATTATTATAGTACTACTATCTTAACTCATCTGCCTTCATCCTCCCTACCAAACAGACCTTAAACCTTTTTGGTGTATTTGATGCTACCAAATTTGATGGATGGAAGTCTCAAATATAAATAATTTACTTTAAGTTTTAGAAAAATGTTTGTGTGGGTAGAATTGATTTATCCTATCATTGTTCCTACTATGCAGTATGAACTTATTATTAAACATAGTATTTTAAAACAGACACCACAGCTAGGAAGGATGTAGTTGGAGCTTTTGTCTGTTAGGCACTAGAGAATCTATTGATTTTAAAAATCTTATTCTTTCCCATCCTGTTCAGTTTCATTTCAATAACATTTTGTGCATTAAAACCATATTTTCTGTAATTTGGAACAACCTGGAGTTCATCCATATTTAGTCACCTTCAGAAGTTTAGTTGTCAGTTGGCGGTATCACTCCCATATATAAAGGCATGACAAAAATCTGTTGGACAGATGAGCACATCCAGTTAAGTGAAGGTGAAAACCCAGCATCTAAATTGAGAGTACAAAACCACATGGTTGCCTTTGCGTGAATGGTAGTATCAAGAGTCAGGCTTTCTGATAAAATCTGTATTTGAATACTGTGGTGGTCATCTGTTAGGAATTCAGGTGAATAAGGAAATTATGTATGTTAATATCTGCTACCCTTATTATATTTTTTCCTAATTAAATTAATAATAGTAATGAAAATTGAATGATCTGAACTCTCTGTAAATTCTTTTTGACATTATGTTTAAATGAAATCTTTTTGAGAATGATTTTTAAGCTTTGATCCCTCCTATGTTGTATTTGAGGAGAGTTTGGAAGTGTACATTACTGGTTTGTTAGCTATGTGTTCTAATCGGAACATGCAAGCATTTTGATTTGGTCATGGAAAATCAAAGTATCAGCATTGTGCTAGCCAGCATTTAAAGAGTTAATTTCAAGGTGAACTCTGTACCATTCTGACACTACAGAACAGGGGTTCACAATGTGCCCAGCAAGGAGGAGTGAGATTTCACTGTGACATGTTCTCAGTAATAATTGCAACTTATATGTAAGTAGGATTTTTTCCGTGTTCTTGGAAGCGTTTTCTGAGGCAAATACATCTTCATAACATTAAGATGCTTAGAGGATTTGGTACCCAGTTCTTTGGCTGTACACCCCTCTTTTGCCAGGATGATAGTTTCTTCTGATGATGCAAGCTCTAACTCAGCTCATTAACTTCCTTGTAGAAATTGGCGTGCCAGTAGGAGGAGAGGCGGCTACTGAGGAGGCTGAAATGGGGAACGCGCACAGAAAGTTTCACAGCAAAGGAGGTGGCAGTAAGGCGGAAGACAGAGACACACAGAAGCAGAAGGAATCCACTGAGTGCGGATTAAAAAAAGAGACATCAGAGAAAAAATCACAAAAGCATTTATCAGACCATGAAGGTGAAGTTAATGGCTATTTACACAGTGATCAAAAGAGTGAAAGCCCTGAAGCTGAGAGCTCCAAATCGCACGGAGCTGAGTCTCAGTCGGGTGGTGGTGGCAGTTCTACTTCACTTCCTCCTACTGCAGCAAAACTAAAAAGTGAAGGAAACGAGTTATTTAAGAGTGGACAGTTTGGAGAAGCTGTGCTCAAATACTCAGAAGCAATTGAGTATGTCATCGGTCTAGGTGAGTGCGATACCTTATAATTAAATTTAGGATTATTGTTTAGATTATTAAAAGGAACTACAAATGAACTAACCTATCCTCGGATTTTTGGCAGGAGTTACTGTGCAGTGAATTCTTAGTCATTGTCAGTAGAGGGTAATTCATGTGATACTGAATATAGGAAGATGAGTGAAATAATCTTTTAACTTCCTTGGAGCAGAGCTGTTTACTTTTATTTATGTGTTTGAATAATTACGTATTATAGGTGACACAGAATCATCAAATGGTTTGGGTTGGAAGGAACCTTAAAGATCCTCTAGTTCCAACCCCCCTGCCATCAGCAGGGAAACCCTCCACTAGACCAGGTTCCCCAAAGCCCCATCCAACCTGGCCTTGAACACTTCCAGGGAGGGGGCATCCGCAACTTCTTTGGGCAGCCTGTTCCAGTGCCTCACCACCCTCACAGTGAAGAAAATTATAAAGGAAAGCTCCTTACAGCTTTGCATTGTCAGCAAACTGCATCACTGCAGTGCACCTTACACTATGCAAGTCTTTAATTCCTGAATGTCATTTTAGTAATGGTCTTTGATTTTAATTGTAACTTCTTGTAGGAGGACAAAGTCCAGATGATTTAAGTATCTTGTACTCCAACAGAGCAGCGTGTTACCTCAAAGAAGGCAACTGCAATAACTGCATTCAGGATTGTAACAGGTAAATTGCAACCTCCCATGTAGAGCAACAGCATTCCTGATGATGATTAAACATTTTAACTGATACATTGTTATTGCAGTTTGACTTAGAACAATCTTTGATAAAGTCTGATTCCCTGTCTGAATGACAGATATCTTTGTCACTTATGTAAACAATCACATGGAACCTAAGGAAGGAGTAACTTCTAAATTACTGTCTGACTGTGTGAGGGCAGTTGTTAGGCTTCTTGTGTACACAGAAATGCATAGCAGGGTTAAATTTTTTTAATTTAAAAGCAGGCTTACTTCAGTGATGCCTTATAGAAACTTATATGTAAAAGCTTTGTTAAGCCAGATGCTTATCACAGTATTGCAAATTGCTTTCACGCATGTATATGGTGTATGTGTTCTCTGTGTTCGGTTTGTTGTTTCGGTTTAGTTCTTTTTAAATATATACTTGGCATAGTTACAAACAGTAATTACAGCTGTTCAGGAGTTGAGCTAAAACCCTTTCTACTTATTGTGGCTTTTAAGGGTACAGGAGTTAGAGAGGATCAGACACCTTCAGTAAGTTCCAAACACTGCCTTCCACTAAGCTATTACTGTATTTCTAGATGTCTTTTTTTATATATTTTTATAGATAGGGTTAGTGAGACTGAGGCTTAAGGTGCAAAAAAGGATCCCAAGACAGTTAGAAATCATATTAATTAACCAGTTTGGTTTTTTACGGCACAACCCAACTGTTAAAAAAAAACCCCAAAACTAAAAATCAAATATGCATGTAACTTTGCATTAACCAAAGATTTGACTTACTGCATATATTCTACCTGACCGAAAAGTTTTCTGAAAATGTCATCTGAAAAAACTTGACTTGTTAACAGTATTTTGTTAGAACAGATGCACTACCATAAAACAAGATGGCATACTTAACAGCCATCACATTTTTCTGTTCAGGAGGTCTGAAGTACGTAAGACTTCAACTGAAATGAGTAATACAAAGGTTTTGTATTCTTACCAATTGGAAGCTTATTTTCTTACTACTTAATGACAGTGTCCTTGAAGTACTGCATATTTTCTGGTTACACAAGGACAGGCAATGCTTAGTGAACACAATGGAGGTAGAAATAATTTAGATACTGGGAAGCAGAACTGTAAAACTGCAAACACACAAATTAAGCAATGTCAATTAAATCTCCTCTAGGCCACACAATATAAAGGATTATCTATGAATAGGTTACTTGATTTCAGAGTAAAAATGGTGTAGTGCATATATTCATGATATAAAAATAAGTATTGAACATTTATCTTTTATTAAGTTTTAGCTATTTAGGGCTTAGAAGTGTATCAAAAACCCTCTGCTGGATCTCTGTGTCTCAAGACTCTGATTTGGAGTGCCTTTGATTCTTGTTACAGAGGGTGAAATAGGGCTCCTATGCACTCATGTTACTTTATTTAGTATCGTGGTGTAGTCTGGTCCCTGGCTGCATTATCTTTGCATTCTACCCTGGAAATGTAGTTTTCCGTTCCCATTGATGCTATTCTTCAAGCAGTGTCATCTTCCCCTGAATTTATTTATGGTTTTGTTTTGGGTTTTTTTCTTTCATTTTGGAAAATGAACCTGAAATTGTAAAGGAACCTGAAATTGCATTAATATTCTTCTAAGTTACAGAATGTCAAGCATTTTTGCAGAGGTTTTGTAAGGGCTGTGATGTGCACTGTTGTATTTTTCATTTGTATTCAGCAACATAAAGAGAAATGGAATGTTGGAAATGTTTATTCTAGAAATCATTGTTTCCCTAGCTTTAGGAGGAGTTAATGGTGCAAAGCCAATTTACAGCAAAGGTGGCCAACAGTCTCCTGGGCTTATAAACATGAGCTCAGCCAGTGGATGGAGGGAAGTGATTATCCCCTTCTGATGATAACTGGAGGTTTTCGGCCTCCCCAGTACAAGAAAGATAGTGATCAACCTGAGTGAGTTCAGTGACATGTCACTTAGTTGACTGAAATCTGGAGCACTTGCCTGGAGAGGAGAGGCCAAGGGAGCTGAGTTTGTTCAGCTTAGAGGAGAATGACTTCTAGGGGTCCTAACAGCAGCCTGCCAGTACCTATGAGGAGATTATCCAGAGGATGGATCCTGCCTCTTTCTGACAGTGCATTGTGGGAGGACAAGAGACAACAGGCAAAAATTGAAGCACACAAGGTTCAGCCTGTGTATTAGGAGAAACATTTTCCCCATGAACAATGGGGAACGTTGCAACATGTGCCCAGAGATGCTGTGCAGATTCCTTTGGAGGTTTTCAAGGCTCAACTGGATAAAGCCCTTAGCAACCTTGTCTGATCTCAGAGCTGACCCTACCTGTAGCAGAAGGTTGGACTAGGGACCTCTCAGCCTGAATTATGATTCCATGAAATCTAATGGGCTAGACTTATCTTAATTTCAGTATTTCAAAGTTTATCTCTTTTTCTCTTTGGCAAGAATCATTAATTTATAAAGGGTAGTCTTTAATAAATAAAGCCTTTGTGGACTGCTGCTTCATCTTACTGGAAAAGCACATGTGCTGATTGCACTGTGTCAGGGGTTGAGTTCAGTTTTGACCAGGCACACAATCAGAAGCGTAAACAGGCAAAAGAAAGACAAAAACCTAAAAGCCAAGAAGACGACAGGTGTATATTCATGTCTTACCCAATGTAATTTTTACATGCATATTTCCATGTAAGGAAGAAGAACTGAAAAAGCACCATATATATATCTAGGCATGACTTAAGAAAAATAGCTTTTGCTCTTAAACAGCTGCCATTACTTTAATCTTTTCTTGGTAATGAGAGTAGTTTTCCAGATGGAAGATAGGGACTGAAGTAGCATAACTTGTAGTAAAAGCACTAACAATTTCATAACTGCATGTCATTTAGGGTATTAATATAAACCACTTAGTCCCATTTTCATTGGTTATGTTACCCTAAGGCCCATCTAAAATCACAAAGTTGTTATGGATAGTTGTATATATCATAAAATAGTTTTATTAATAATATTTCAGTTATTCTGTTTCAATCCTGCATTTTTCTTTTGTTTTCTCCAGAGCTCTGGAGCTTCAGCCATTTTCCCTTAAGCCTCTTCTACGACGAGCAATGGCAAATGAGTCTATGGAGCGGTATCGACAGGCGTACATTGATTATAAAACAGTCCTACAAATAGACAGCAGCATCCAAGCAGCAAATGATAGTGCTAATAGGTAACTCCACTTACAAATTTTCTACTCTCATCAGTAGATAGAAAAATAGAATTCAATTTTGTTTGTTTCACATGCTCACACTGTTCTGTATCCTGCAGAGGCAGGGTCGTCATAACTAGTGCGTTACAACTAGAGGACTGGCTGTTTCATTTAGTTATTTTCCCATAGCTTCACAGTTTTTCTCTGCCAGCAGTAGGTCACTTTATGTTTTAAAAATGTAATATTTTAAAGGCTTTTTTTTACTGATACTTCAACTTGTTTTCTTTCCTAACTTGTATTTGATACCATGTAAAGTAATACTTTAAGGTTCATACCTTTTCTGTGACATTTCTGTTTCCTTTTCATATTAGCACACTTTCTGTGACAGTTGGAGATTTATGTTAAGTGTGAATCCTTCAGTATGTTGCAGTTGTGTAGACACTGAAGTAGCTTGATGCAGTGGTTGGCTATAAAGCTTAGAGGTGTAAAAAATACAATTTAACATTATTTTTAAGTGTTAATACTTCCAACATTAATTCTTGGTGCCAAGAGAGACGTCTCAATTTCTATAATTATATTTTAATAGTACAAAATTAGTGTAGACACACTATTGTAATTGTGTTCTCATTAACATATAGTAAGTACTTCAGTGTGTGCATGATAGCTTTTCCATTCCCTTTTCTTTCCTTTTTTTTTTTAGTGGGCAAAAAAAGTATTTACGAAAGCAGAACAGCCATCAATCATTGAGCAGGAACCCATGCATGTGACTTTTAACAATGGAATCTAGTACCTTTTTTTCTTTTTAAGGCAAGGCCATGAGCACTTACATTATTACTTCATTAAAAAGTCCACAATATCTTTAAATTCTGATTATTTGACCAGAGGTGGCCAGAGGAAATCATGAAACTTTATCATCTTCTCTTAGAAGTCTTATTTTTGGTAACACAACAAATTGTTACTGATCTCCTCTTGGATTGGTGATATAGCTGCTCATCCTGATATCTGTGTGATTATTACACTTTTTTTTTATCTTGGCTTATTTTATCTGCAGATACTTTTTTCATATTTCTCCTTGACTTGTAACTTGCTTAGTAATAAGCTTATTTCCTTTTTTACCCTTAACACTCTTCCTTTTCTCCTCTCTAGGCCTTCCTTAAGTTTTTAGCTTCACTGCTCATTACTCTTTCCTCCCTGGCAACCCATCACCTTATTTCAGCTGCTTCTTCCTTCTTCTCTTCTGCTGGTAATTCATTTTTGCTTGCAAATTCTCAGTTTCTAAAGCATAGACCTCCTGCATAATTGAACTTTTACTATAATTTATTTTGTAATATTTTATCATTTATGAATTAAACTGAAATTGTTTACCAAAGTATTAATTTTCATTTCCAAAGTAATAGACCTTTCTCAGAATGAATTTTAACAAAATATGATAGTTACTCTACTGCCTTTTAACTTAAAAGGAGAACCCTAACATGTAATTTAATTTTTTTATATATTAGGAATATCAGATCTTAACAACCTGCTTTTATTGGAGATTTCTTTGTTTTTACATTCCTGGGGGAAATTGGATGGTGATGCTGTAGGAAGCTCACAGGAAAAACTCATTATCCTGCTTGTGTCTGAGGATGGGTTTGATAAATCATGTTAAGGCTTGTCTTCCTGTACTTACCTAACTAAGCAGGCTTTCCAAAAAATCTTAGAATCGAACGCGTGTTCAGTCTGACATTTCTAATAATTCTCACATAAGAGTAGTAGAATTTTTAATATAAAGCCTTTATCTGATAATGTAAAGCCTTTTCCTGATCATTTTGCAATTAAAAGGAAATAATTAAGAATGTAAGTACATATTTTTATGAAAAGTCAACTGAAAACAAGTATAAAGAGCTATGTGAGTATTTATGATGTTGATTAGGTGATACTGAATTGTGTCTATTGGTTATCCTGAGGTGATTTCTAGATAAATTGGAAGGACTGTTTCTTTTAATGGTGTGTGCCATGTCACAGGAAAATGCATTTCAAGCACGTTTTTAATTAGTGGCATTTTCCCAGCTTTGTGAACATCCATGATTTTCCTACTTTGTGTATTTTAATTTCCTCTTGATTGAGTGTTTTATTATTTGCTTTTCACTGTTAGAGATACAGAAGCTCTAATGTGGAGCAATATCTTTATGCATTTCCATTTACTAAATTGAAGTTTCGTTCCAGTTGTCTCAACTCCTTTAATATCAGTTAGCAAATTGCATTAAATAGCTTGGGAGCTTTTATTACAGAGTTCCATATGAGTATTGTACTGTACTGATAAATTTGTGATAAACTGCAAAACTGCAAGATTGTTGGGTCAAGTTAGGGTGTTGTTGAGGGGAATGGGTGTATTTGTCCCAGCTTTTGCATGAGATATGTGTGCTTTTTAAACTAACCGTGGCATGCAGGTGCACGTTTTTGCAAAAGATTATTCTTAGATTATTATCTTACAAGAAGTCGATCTATCATCAAAGACTGCAGAGTTCTTTCTGTTGCTTTTGATGAATTAGATCAAATTTTTTGTTCTCAAATGGAGAAAAATCAAACAGGAAGTCAATGGGGTCCTGGTTTACTGTAGAATTATTCTGTTCCTTTCTATGGGAAATACCTAAACATAATGGATTTTTTTTAATACGAAGTGTACAGTTTTGTTCTCTAACAAAATAACTTGAGTAAATCTTAGGGCTGTTTAATTTATGATGGTGTGCCATATTTTTCTTAACTATTTCACCCAGACCATCATTAAAAACAAGTTTTACTAAAATTAGAGCAAAACAGAACTTGGACAAGCTGCTTTGTTGGTATGTCCTATAAAATACTGCTTAGTAATGATATAGGTAGAGGAGAGTCCCTGGAAGGGCATATGCATCTAACACGCAGAAAAATATTCATCATGTTCACTTAGAAAACAAATAAAGCAACTAGATAATACTATCAAATGTGATATTTTGTGTCTGAAGAAACTTACTTTCAATTTAAAAATATAAGAAATGGTATGTTTGGTGCAAAATTATGTAATACATAAAATCACAGATTTTAGAGCTCTACAAACAGTATTTTTAAGCCATAACAATCTAAATTATTTTGGTAATTTCTGTTTTACAATGAAGAAGATTAGAACAGGTGCTGCTTCTTGTATTGGTTCTTCTGTCAGACCCTAATGAGAAAAGAATTTGGTCCTGAGTGCTCTGACTCTGTTGCCTACTATTATACTGTTTTTGTTTTATAGCTGTTATTGAAATATTTTAAAAGAACAAAATTAAGCAAGAAAACTTCATTGGGTAATTTATGCTCATTTTATCTCATTCTTCATGTCACATTCAAGTTCCTTAATTTTTTTTTTTAATGTGCATTCATGTAGTAATGCACCTAATACACAAATTTCAGGTTTATTTGCTATAGTAGCAATCTGACTTGCTTTAGTACTCAATTCAGAATTTTCCTTTGTTAAAGTAGATATTAGACTTAGCTCCAATTGAACTTGACTCTTAAGCTCATTTTGAGATTAGAAGATGTTTATCTCACTGTTATTCTCATATTTGATTAATAGTTGTTGTTTTTTCAAATACACTACAAAAATTATAATGGCTCCATGAAGTCTGGTATGGCTTTACTCATTATTGTTACTTAGGTCTTTCTCAAAATATATCACAGCAATGGGAAACTCCCACGTGAATGGATTTTGGATTGAACCTCTCACATGCAGAAATAGTTGACATATATAAGAGAGGGGTGGGTGGGTGGTGTGTGTGTGTGGGTGTGTTGGTTTAAGAAAGACCAAACAGTTTTTATGTATTTTGTGGATAAAGAATGATTGATTGATGAATTTCTGACTGTTCTATAAAATGCAACTTAACACCTACTTTATAACCTGCATTAGTTATTTGGAGAATTGTTGTATAAGAGGTTTCATTTGCCATTGGCAAATTTAGGTACCACACTCTGGGGATATTGTACTCTGCATTTGTTACAAATAACACCTATGAACAGCCGAGAAAAGTAAACAAAATAAATACATCATTTTTTCGCCTATTTATTGCATCTGGTAGGCAGTATTTAGACCTTAGTTGCAAAATCAGTCATTTACTTAAATATTTACAGATCATGCTGAAGTCAGCTTCTTGTCTTCTAAATGCTAGCATAAATACTCTAATAAGTGGAAAAAGTCTAAATTGTAAATGAGTGCAATACCATTGACTGCTGTGACAATCTTTTTTTAAATTAGTCCTAAGGATAATTCTTCAGCTGTTTTTTGAAAAATGGGAACATTGCATTATTTAATTTGGGTGTAGGTTATAAAAGCATGAGCTATATATATGAAAAGTCATGTTGACGGCGCTTTCCTCTTTCAGAATAACAAAGACTTTAATAGATCAGGATGGTCCCAGTTGGAGGGAGAAACTGTCACCAATTCCAGTTGTCCCAGTTGCTGCTCAGCTACACAGGTGGGATGGAGGAAACTTTACTTCAGAGAAACAGCCAACAAGTACTACAGATATCAATAGAGAAGAACAGTTGCAGATGAATCGTATGTATAGCTAATGCAATTATATATACAAAAAAGAAAATTATTTTAATTGAAAAATGGAATAAGATTTAATAATGTCAGAGAAACTGCTTTAGAAAATACTTATCAGAGAGATTTTTGAAAAGCCAAGTTAGACGATGGTCATTTACATGATTGGGTTTAATGTGCTTTATGGAGCCACAGTTACGATAAATTTTTTTAAGCCAAGTGATGTAGTTTGCAGCATGTAATTTCTGAGGTTATATAAAATAAAATATAGCAGAAATACTCATCAGCAGTATATTGAGTCCTATCACAAGTATTGGTAGTTTCCCTGACACCATAGTACAGTTATAAGTTTTCCCCCAAAAAAACCACCACCCAAACAAACACCCCAACCTCAGTAACATCATCAGCTGCATAATCTGTAGCTGTCATTTAGTTGTTCATGAAAGCATTGCTCAGCTCTTCAGAATTGAAAGGGCAGACTTCTAGGTGGCCAGTAGTTAGCGTAATGGGCTATAGAAGAACTTTTTTTCTTTTTAATGCTGGATTCTAACTTTGACAGTGACAAATTAGTAGTCACCTTTCAAAGATGTAAGTTCTGGGCTTGTTTACACATAAGCACTGAGTGCTTAACTCCTTTAGGATGCTTTTCTTCCTCATGATTTTTTTCCCCTTCGTTGCAGTTTCCATCCTTCTCCTCCAGTAAATCAGGTGAAGGAACCTTTCTGATTCAGTTTTTATTGACATTAAACATTCTTTTTTTTTGCAAAGGCCTTAACTGTATCATTTTTTACTCTTACTTGACTATTAATTGGTTCCCCTTTGAGTTTATTTCAATATAAAGAAAGGTAATACTGAAGATAATCTCACTTTGATTAACACTGAGGGGGCTGCAACGCGTAACTGGGTTGCTGGCCAAATACGTAGCAGTGATAGGGTTACCTGCCCACAATGCATTACTGCAATAGTGCGTGTCCTCAAAGCATCTGCACTCTTGGGCACTTGTCACCCAGCACCAAGGGGACAGACCAGGGATTGGGAGCAGGGGAGTACTGATTACTGGCACTACAGATTTAATAACTTTAAAGATGATCTCCCAGATAGCATTAAATTTATTTGTACTTGATGTAAAACAACAGACAACTTAGAAATGTGTGCATTTATAAGAATTGGACATTTTTTTAAGAATAAGGCATGGTTCTAGAAACTTGTAATAGTATGGTTTATATACTGTTTGAATAATAGTGCATACTAAACTGCAGTAATGCTACAGAGAATTTCATTTAAGAGACATAAGGCATGTTGATGTATAATTTAAACTCAATTAAATTGATAAAAATTTTTACTCTACTTTTTCATACGTCCAATGACTTCAGTATTTTCATTACAGTTGTTAGTGCATGTCATTACTGATTCCTCACTCTTAAGGACTGGGCAGCAATTGGGTTTAACTTTTGTTGTTTTGTTTTTTTAAATTAAATAGAAAACTGATATTTTGCACAATTGTTGGTATTAAACGCTTATCTGGAAAAGTGCTTTTTGTTGTATTGATTGTACTCCAGGCTTTTTCTGTTATTAAGGAATACAACTTGTTGGGTTTTTATTTCATTGTATAACCAACCTGTTTAATGTAAACCTTTTAAGTAGTAAATTTGGATCTATATAACCTTGTGTAACTTTGTTAAGAGAGAGAATTTGAAGATCATTGTAGTAAAAAGTACACTGAGTACCATGGTTGCTTCTGAGAAGAGTAGTGATCGTGTTTAGCCTGCTACATAACTTAATGAAACTGGCCATCACTATCTTCATGAAGATAGTACTCCATGGCGTTTTGAAACAAAACAAGTCTCAATCTATTTCAAATAGAGTGAGCTTTGGTTGGCCTTTGTTTCTAGAAATATTAAAACAAGACTGCATAATCATTTTCTTCACTGAAGGCTGACTCTAAGGTTGTGGTTGCCTTCTCAGGCCTGTACTAAATCAGTGGGACCTAACAGTGATAGCTGGTGCTGGAAGTGTGCCAGCAGTAGTGTTCAGTCAGTAGTTAAACCTTACTGTTGGCTGACACTTCATTGCAACAATTGTCTGTTGGGTTTTGTGTCTTACAGCTTGAGTTATAATTTAGTTGTGTTTCTTGCATAAGTCTGTTCTGGTTTCACATGGTTTCTTTTTTTTTTTTTTCCTCCAAGTCTAAATGTAGTTTTCTGGCATAGGAGACTGCCATGTTTTTGTGAAAGAACTCACTGAGTTTATTACTGGTTAAAATTATCTGGTTATATACAGTGTTTAAAATCTGAAGCTTGGCAAGGGGCTCATATTCTTTAGCAAGGTACAACAAGCACATTTTTCCATTATGAGTTACTTAGAGCTGTGTTACTAATTATTTTCTGCTCACAACAGAGATGTGAAACTACAGTCAGAATTGGTTTTCCACTGGAAACATACGTAAAAATTGTAGTCTAACCCAGAAGCATATGCAACAAATGGTGTGGAGTTTGGAAGGAAAGACAATTATGGAAGAACAGAATAATAATAAAAAAGTATAGTTAGGTGTTCTCAAAGCATCTTTTTTAAACAGTTATTAACAGAATATTACTGATGTATCACTAACCCATCCTGATGTGATGATTTGTTGTTTGTTGTCAGTTTAGCATAGTAATTGTTGATAGATAGTTGCTTGCAGAGAGAATATGAGATCAAATTATGGCCGCCTTGGTGTGATGGTGGAGATCTAGAAGGCCTTTAATCCTTCTGACTAAATCTCCACCATTCTAAATAAAACTGGTCTCTCTGGAGATACATAGTCCCTCTCTACCCCACAGAAGGGGTAGACAGAAGGAGGTGAAAGTGTAAAGCTGTCTGTTGCATTCCCATGATTTTCAGCAAAATCCTGGTGCATGGGGAAATATGTGTTGTGCCAAATGTAGATATGGTAGTTTATGTCTTTCTTAGTTTATGCCTTTCTTCCTTATTCTTAAGCAGGGAGATCTGGGACAGAAATGGTAATGTGTAGGCCGATAAAGATACTCCACTTGCCAAGCATTTATTCTTAGTCTCGGTAGATTATTTGGCTACCCTTAATGAACTGACCTTCTTATGTAACACTGTGATCCTTTTGTAATGTAGGTGAGAAAGCTGAGGAGAAGTTCAAGACATTAAAAACTGCAGGGAATGATTTTGTAAAAAAGGGTAAATACGAAGAAGCTGTGAATAAATACAGCGAATGCATGAAGTTAAATACCGAGGAATGTACGATCTACACTAACAGGTAAAGATCCAAAATCTAACCCTGCTTTGTGGGATAACAATAGTTATAATTTCACTGCAAATAGAGATATTGCATCCCTTCAGTCACTGTTGTAAAAATAGGAATTTTTTTCCCACTTGATGAGTGTTTCTAATAACAAAATTTATTTTTTTGTTAAACTGCATTCTTTTCCAAGGGGAGCAAGTATTAATGCCAATGATAGATATCTTAAAATCTTTATATAAACAGAGTAAGCAATACTAAAAGTTATAATTAGCACAGCATTTTGCAGCATTTTTTTTAGAATACTGGTATGAATTTAATTAAAAACTGACTGCAGTAGCAGTATCTCAAATAGTTCAGAGTAATAGTTCAGAGAAAATGTACATTTTAAGAAAATAAAAGTAGGAACAAGGTCATACAACAGCATTATTTTAAAGGTTGACCTAATTCTGCAGCATAATTCTTTATGCTGTAATCTTATCAGCTTTCACAAACTAAGAAGGATTTGGTTAGGGCAGTACTTGAATAGGAGTCTTCCAAGTAATAATTAGGTGCAGAAAGCAGTATTGCTTGTTTAATCTAGAGCATTTTTTTACCCAGAATGGCTGTATAAAATCCATACTATATCCACTACTATACTATCTTATATATTAACATACGCTCTGCTTTTAAAATACTTATATACCTGCCTAACTTCAAGCATTAGTTGTATTTGAATTTTAACTTTTATTGCAGGATTTGGCCCTCTCTAAATCCATCCAGTGATGCTGGTTTTGATGTACTTTAAAAAAAACCACATTGAGACTGAATTGTGTGAAGTATTGTAATTAACATTTATGAGTCAGATACTGTTGGCACTACAGCACTGTAGAATTTACTTATATTGCAGTGTATTCTGTTTTTCTGTGTTAGAGCTCTCTGTTACTTGAAACTGTATAAATATGAAGAGGCTAAGCAGGATTGTGATCATGTTCTTCAGATAGAAGATTCTAATATTAAAGCTTTTTATAGAAGAGCACTAGCGTACAAAGGATTACAGGTGAGGAAAAAGAACATGGCAGGTATTCTTAAGCACTTCTAAACTTGCTTATCCTCTTCAAAGGCTATCAGGTAGTTGCAGTCGATGGGTGAATACAAAGTATGCAGTGCTGATGATTTATTACTTTGTAGAGCATTAGGCATACATAATATACTATATAAATATTTTTGCAATATAAAAACCTGCATGTTGACTTGTAACAACTTGTGAAAATACAAGAATATTGGAATAAATGAGGTTTGACTGGAGATTGGTTAAGCAAGTTTCAACTCTCTTCTAATGTTCTGATATTCTTCTGGGTATCCCAGTCTGTTACTATATCTTTGCTGGTGACAAATGGATTCTCTCCAAGTATGACTTCATCGGTTCAAACTAAAATCTCAAGCTGTGTCTTTTGACTTCTACTCATATTTGAATGCTTGTCATGTTAAACCAGGAGTTTAATTATCTTTGCGCGCGCTCTCTCTCTCTCTCTTCCTTCTCCAAACACATTACAAACCTCTGCCCGTAATCTGCTTTCTTACTCTGTGAACAATGTAGGGACTCAACCTTCTCCTTTCCATCTACACAGTGGTGGTGGTGTCTCTACCGTGCTCATCTTACACACAATTTTTTGAGTATCCTATGTACAGTTTTTTGAGTATCCTTTTACCTGTTCTTCATAAATGCAGACTTATATTGCTCATACTCATCCTGAATGTGACTGCAAATCTCTTGTTCCATCACTTGAACCATGTCGATCCTTTTGTCCATCCATTTGTTGGTTCCCCTTCTTCAGTGATGTTAATTAGCCTCTACACTTGGCAGTTCTTTTCATAGCGATCCTTATGCTACCTGTCAGCTCTTAACCTGATACTGATTTATCAGCGTCTCACTTCTATTGGCTCATGATGGCATCTGTCGTCATCTACTTTGTATTAAATTGTACAAGTGTCTTTAAACATGCTTTCTGCCATGTTGCTGTTTATAACTGGAGGTGATCACTCTGAGCGTCCACCAAGTTCCAGCAGTGTCCATCAAATGAATACGTACCTCAGACCTCCATTAATTTTGATGCCTTAACAAAAAATTACCTGATTGTCTCTCAGCTTACAAATACCTGAGGACAACCTGCTGATGCTTAACAGTGTACTAGCCTATTCTCATCTCATATTACTAATTCCAAATGCAAGTCATAGAAACCATGGGATCTTTTGTTTGTGATAAATTTGTTCCTCTGTTGTACAGTGGCTGTGAAACTTTGAAAGTTTGCTTTTATTAATTTTCAAAGAAGGTGAAAAGTCTTAATTTTATGTAAAAGCTTTTCTGTAACTGTACCAAGTTACCTGGTATTAATAATCTATAACGTTATCTTGTTAAGTTGATAAAAAATTAGTATAAATATGAGCACAGCTATATAGTGATTCTACCAGTCAAAAAAAAGGGAATTACGCACTACTGAAGAATGTAAAGAATTACAGAGAAATAACTTCTTCTTTTTTGAACGTCCTAGAAAAAATTGCTATTTTTGTATTATTGAAGACATAACCTGAAACACAGTGTTCATGAATTCCTTCAGAACAGTCTGAGCTGGGGACTCCCAAGATGTGTTGTTGTGGTTGGATTTAATGCCTTCATTATTGCTAATTCCAGGGATGTGAGTGATTCGTAAAACCAGAGAAAGTAACAAAAGTCATTTGAGGTTGATAACTGACTCTGTAATGAAAAATTTTAAGAGCTAAAAGCATGTAGTTTGGCAAAGACCTAACTAAGCTGGGACGTGTTATTTGCATATAAATATCCAGATATTTTACCACAAAAGCTGCTGTGGAATTTAATGTAGTAAATTATGGGGGTTTTAATAGATTTAGTGAGATGTAGTCAAGGGATGATCAGGAAAAAATTGTGCTTGTGTGATAAATTAGGCCTATAACATAGGACCCCGGACTGCATCTCCTACAGCTGATAGTCCAGTCTCTTGCTTTGGGTACAACCATCTTGCGTGCTTTTTCTTGTGAAGTCTGGCAGGCTGCAATTTTAAATCCAGGGGGTTGGTTGGTTGGTGACCCTTGTCATTGTTTTCAGAAGCCTGATCCAGAATCTCAATTCTCTGTAGTTTGAATCTTTACATCTGTAGTTCAGATGGTTTAGCTTAATTAGTAGCTGTTTTCTGATTAAAGCAATCTGCCCCCTTTCTGCATTCATTCCCAAGGCTAAATAATTCTAGTTTTCTTACTCTTCTTTCATGATACAGCAGACTTCAGTTCACTTGTAGACTCAGTGCAGTGTCTCTGCACCTTGAATACTGGTCATCAGTATAGAACAAAATATTCCGTGTAGGAAAGAGAATATGAGTGACTTGTACACTAGTACTTTTATTACAGTTGAGATGCTGAGGAAATGCCTCAGCTGGTACATGAGGATGTTTTTCATGGTAATATGAATGACTTACAGTAACTTTATGATACTGCTTGGGAACAGAAGAAATATTAGGTCCCTCACACAAAGAAAGTATGTTCATTTTTTTATGGTCTATTACTGTTTACTGCTACATCCCATCCTTATTTTTGATACTCCAGCCCTCAAGGTGTCTTGATTTCTCTATGTGATACTCCAGTGTTTCTCAGAACTGATGCTATTAATTTTGTCTGTCCAGAAAATTTAGTCTAAAAAATCATAATTCCTTGTGTCAAAATTTGAAATAAAAACATTAAACAAATGACAAGACCGATTACTGAGGAACTGTGTCCTAATGCTGCTCTATCGCTGTGTTTGTCTTCCTAATCCTGTTTATCCCAGAGTTCATAACATAATCCCAATCTTCTCAAGTTTTACCAAAAATTTCCCTTCTTGGACTGTAAGAGATGGTCTATTGGGTTGAAGCCCGGGAAGATGAGGTATATTTTAAATCTAAGCTTAATTTAACTCTCTTTTATTGGCAAAGCAAGTACCCAAACTGTTGATGGACTCACATTGTTTTAATCTTGAGGAAGTGTTACACTGTAAGCAATTACGCTTAAAAGCAGCAATCTTCAGTAATGTATTCTCTGATACAGGAAATATGTTTCTCAGAATAAATGAATTCATATTACATATTTAATACGGAAGTATTTAGTCACAAAATACTAACTCAAATTCCTCTTCAGTTTCCTTTTTCCCCTCTAATGAAATTACACTGTTTGTATTTAGATTATTTTTGTCTACTTAATGTCAAGATCCTAGCGTTTTTATTTTTCTTAATTGTAAAGGACAGTATGGTGCTTCAAATTTATTTTTATAGTAGTGTGTTTATGAAAAAAATTATTTTCCCTTCTTCTTACAGAATTATCAAGCCAGTGTTGATGATTTCAACAGAGTACTTCTAATAGATCCAAATGTTCTTGAAGCAAAAAAGGAACTAGAGGAGGTAACCCAACTGCTTAACGTTGACAGCAGTGCTGCAGCTGGCAGTCAGCAAAAGCAAAGGAAGAAAATAACCATACAAGAGGTATACCTGGCCATTTTTAAAAGCAGGCAGTACAGAAGCCGCACATTTGAAGAGATAATATTAAAGCTTTTATTTTGCACTTCTTAGGTCTACATTTTTGGGGGTGGGGTTGTATTTTTCATGTTATTTTGAGGGCATATTGGAGGATTCTTGGCTATGATGCGTTCAGTGTGCATTATATTCTATAGTAAAGCACAGAAATGGAAAAAAATACATTTAGATGGCACTAAATTTGAGGATATGCTCCTTGTAAACTTCAGACTTTGAAATACCTGTTTTACGGAATACAGCTGTCAAATAGCGGTTTTGCTTTTAAAGTCTTTGCTAGTCTGGGAGGTTCTGGGACTTTGCTGGCAAAGGTTCATTGTCAGCAGGCGTGCTGCCTGTCCTTGTGCCAGTAGTAAAGTTACTAGTCTGAAGAATTAAATCCTGGCTTAAAGACCAAGTTTATGGGTAAAATATCTGTAGGGTCTTATAAAAGAAATAGGTGATGTAATGTTATGTACTGGATCAAATGTTAGCCTTGCAGAGTTCTGGGTAGAATTAGGCAATGAAAGGATTTTCTCAGTCATCCGATATTTTTGGATTGTAGCATTGCTGGTCCTTTAAGAATATGTCTTGTCTCCCCCCCACCCCGCCCCTTTTTGTTTTAAAATATATAGTTAAAATAGATAGTTACCGGTTTGTACAGTGATACTGTAATTTGATAATGTAATTTCAAAATGGTGGATAATGCAAACTGCAGTTACTCATATAAAGCCAACTTGTTTTATTGAAACACTGCACATTGTCACGAGTTCAGGGGATTTTATGTAACTAGCATAAGCCGGGTATAGTGTTAGTTAAGCTCTGAGTTGTGACAAACAAAGGGACCTGGAGAGTGTTTAGAGGAGGTTTGGGAAGTGACTGCATTGTTGAAAGACCAGCTAACTACATTACTGGCAGTGGTGATTTTTCCAGGGGTGGGGCAGGAAGCATTTACGTTTGCTATCATAATTACAGCTGCCCTTCCCTGTCTTATCTGCTGTAGTACAAGGTAGTTCTCTGAAAACAGACTGCAAGAAAAGTAGGGAAAATTTTATTAGAAACTGGGATTTATCATTATTATTCCATTTTAATCAAACTGTAATTATATACAAGACAGTCAAGATTTCTCTGTTGATACTAAGGATTGTTAAAAATAGAACAAAAAGTCCATAAGGCCAAAACAGTATTTTCCCAAAATGACTAATTTAGCTCACAGCACAGTACTATGCAATGCAGGATCTTCAGACTTTCCAAAAACCTTGGCATCCATTGAAGAGACCATGTTCAACAAGAATTTAGTGTTTGTACTAATTCCACAACTCTTGATAGCTTGAAATGGATTTTAGCAAACGTAGTTGAACCCACGGTTAATTTTCTAGTGACTGATTCATGAAACTGCAAACTCCAGAGAAGTTCAGTGGGTGTTCGGGCAGTTAGACCATGCTGAGCTTTCTCCTTCCACAGCGAGACTACAAACAACCCAATACAGCTGCGATGTACCTGTCCTATTCTGGAGGCACAGCAGTGAAGTGAAACATGGATATCTGGTGACTAAACTTCAGTTCTGCTTGTCTTCTGCAACTTCACATTTAATATATGTACATTTATTTATACAGTCCTCCTTAGCTTTCTCCCAGTGGTCTTCAGTTGTCTTTCAACAGTGGAGTGCCAAGCAGTGAAAGGAAATGTAAAAAACACATTTCTGGCTGCAAACCTTTAAATATGAATTAGAGAGGTGCTGGTCTGTGGGGAAGTAGGACATAAAGGAACATAGATGTCTTTCTTTTATGAAGAGTGAAGTGCTAACTTTAATTTAGTGACATTACTGATGGATATATGCATACAGTTTATGAAGCTTCAGGTTATCCACGTTAAAATGATTCGTTGCTGTTTTCTTTGTGAAGGTGTCTGAATGTGATGACCAGGAAGAGAGACAGTTTGCTGCACCAGAAGGTGTTGTGACTGATCATGTTACTTCTAAGGAAGCAGTTCAAGAGAGTGTGCCACTGAAGACCTCTGAGAAACTGCGTATTTCTGAACCATCTAATGCTTATGACTTTGGTCAAATTATAAATGCAGTGAATACCAATAAGGATAAAGCTGCTTGTGCAGATCTTTTAACGATTATTGATCCAAAAAAAATGCCAGTGCTGCTAAGTAATAAACTTGAAGGAGAAATCTTTCTGATTTTTATCCAGTCATTGGAATATTACCTCGTTGGAAAAGATCCTGGCCTTGTATATCAGCACCTTTTCTACTTGAGCAAGGCGGAAAGATTTAGGGTAAGAACCTAGATTGAATGCGTACTTAAGTTGAACTCGAACCTGAAGGAAATTTTCGTATCTTATAAGGAAATGATACACTGATTTTGTATCTCTGTCAAATACTATGATTTTTGATCAACCTGTGCTAATTATAAAATAATCTGTTTTTTCAGGTGGTGCTGGCCCTTCTTAGCAAAAATGAAAAAGAACAGGTTCAGCAACTGTTTAACTCACTCTCAGAAAACCAGAATCATCAGTACACTTTGGAAGATCTTGAGAGCCTTAAAAAGGTTTATGAACTTTAAGAAGTTAAAATTTATCACTTGCATGCTTACAGTTCATGTTTATAAGATGGATGTGTGAACCCTGCAGACTTGCATGGTTTGAAGTGGGTCTTTACCCGAACTGTTTGAATTCTGTTTGGTTTGACAGCATATGCACATTTAAAACTTGCTGCTCTTTTTTGTCTTGTAGTTGTATACATTTTACATCTCTAGAATTTAGTGCATGTCTTTGTGTTCAGTAACAGAGTTCATGTTATTTGGCGTACTGATTTTATTTAGACTATGTTAATTAAATATATGAAAAGATATATTTTACATTATATATATATAATATGAAGTGTCTTGATGGTACGATAGATAACACACTTTTAGTCATCACTTGTTATATCATTTTGTGAGTTGTATGTTCTTGTGATAAAGAAGTGTCTTCAAGTTAAACGGGTCAGTTAGCAATAGCTTTGCTAAAATGAGTTTACAAAAAGTATTAACATTTTTCAGATAAACTGCTACAGGCCATCTGTTTCTTCATTATCCCTTGAAAACAGATTTAAATATTTTCGATGCAGTACAGCTTAGCAGCAAAGGTAAATGAATAATGTATTAGCTTGTCATGGAACACTTTGAATCAAAATGATTAATTAAATAAACGAGTATGTTTTTTAAAATGATTAACAAGGGAGCCATTTTTAGTGCACAGATAATTATTTTTTTTCTCTGTGTGTGTAAGGACAGCTGGTTTGCACGGCTTTTGAAGTGGCAGTAGTAAACAAGAGAAGAAGTGGCTGCACTTAGCAATGAAAATATTTAACTCTGAGTTTTGTAATCAGATTATTTAAAACACTGGCTATTTCTGTTTACAGACATATTCCTAAAGCTAAAACTAAAACCATTTTTTGGATCAGTATGATTTTTTTATTAATTATTTCAGGCAGTACTTAAGTTTTATATTTGATTCTGACAAAGCTCCTTTTTTCAAGATGAAGCTTTTAAACTTCTCAGATACCCCAATGCCTTCTTTGCACATGTAATATAAATGTATATCAAACTCACTAGCACTGCAAAATTATTAAGAATGTTGTTCTAATGAAAATTTTTCTCAGGTGTATATTAATAAAATAAAGTTTTTTCTTGAAAAGTACAATTATGAATTTTCTTTCCTGGTTCTACACTTTTGAGTCTTACAATTCTGACATGTGGAATATGTGTTTTTTCTTGAACTAGAGTGCCAAGAATGAGGCTTTTAACTCTTAAAGCCCTGTCAGTACAACTGATGCTTTTTGGTTTTAAACGTCCTCTTTTTATGAGATCGTCATGTGTTCAAGAGAGATCTATTGCTCATCTGATCTATGCACAACCAATTGTACTTAACCAACAAAGTGCCAATTTCATTCCTCAGTCATGGTGGCAAGGTGTTCACATTCACTAATTTCTATGTTAGTAATTTCAATCTTTTTATTTTTTCCACTGTAGATTAGTATTTTCAGAGAAGATTCATTGTGTATGTGCAACTTACTGACATGGTTTAGAAAACTTAAATGAAAATCGATTAAGAGCGTTCAGAGTGATTTTAATAACAATAAGTAGCAAGTTAGAGGACTGTATTGATAATACACTGATTAGGAAACATTCTTTTGCTAAAAGAAAGCTTAAATCCCAGCTATGTAATTTTAAAATAGTTGCTTGAAAACTGTAGTTGAGTAAGAGCCAATGTCAAAAGCCACCACATCACAAAAGCTCTTGATGAAGTTAAATCTTTCTCTGCCACCAAAACATCCAAGTATTAAAAGCTCTTTAGATATCTTCCAAGAAGCAGTCTTGACTGCTAAAGTTCCTATCTCGTTGTACACTTTGTTTGGATGCTGAAGACAAAAATCTTTGCAGAATATTTGCAGCAGTAAATAATAAAATATAATTTAGTAAGTTGAGGAGGCAATCAGGCCAATTACTAAAAAGACAAAAAGGCTTTAAAAGGCAAGAGGTTTTTTTAAATGGAGTGTTCTTGACCAGTCATTTATCCATGAGGAAATGGACAGATGAGTTTTCATGAGTAGGTATGCAGTGTCACAGCTAATTTTAGGACAGTTTAATCAATCCCTAGCCATTAAACTAAAACCTAAAAGTAGTCCAGAGGAAAATAGTCTAGTAGTCCAGGAAGCTACTTTTTCTTCTCATACCTTCCAGCTTGAATGTCAGCCAAAACAGAGGTTAACTCAGTTTGAGGTAAAAATGAGAGAGATCAGCAGATCAGGAAGCTAAAATTACCTCTTGTTAAGAAGTTCTAAATGGAGAACTGCAGCAGTGTGTTTGCAAGTGAACCCGTTAACCGGCTGGTGGGAGGCAGCTGTCACCAGCTGCAGTCAGAGATTTGTACCCGCCTGCGTCAGATGCAGTCAGCAGGAGATTAAATGGCAAACATCCCCTGATTTGAAAAATCGCACTTTGCCATGAAGTCACACATCTCCCATCTCTTGATGGTCAGCGTGTCTCTGGTCCGTTGACAGTAGTAAGGGAGCGGGTTGGGCTAGAAAGCTTAAACTTGTCATCGCCCTGCACTACATATAGCAGCCCCTGAAGTTACACATACTAAATCTTTGCTACGTCTATTCTTTAAGGTCAGCTGTATCATCTGCAGATCTTGTCTATCTGATGGTCCTCACACCTGTCTCGACTAGGAACATTTGGCCTCTGCTTCCAAGGTTAAAGAGATTTTTCTTTTTTTAAAGTACAAGGGAATAAAGAAGAAACTGGAACATTTATTGTTTTAATAGCTGAAAGATGAAGTAAGTAAGTCAAATAATAGTCAAAATATATTTCTTTTAATATATTTCTTTAAAAAAAAGAAAAAAGT